GGCATTTCAATTTGTTCTGCCCATTCCAAGCGACCTGCCTCCTGGTTTGACCTGTCACATGACCTGTAGTCGAGCTGGTCTGATAGGTCACCTAGCCCTTCACCTGACGTTGCTCTTCATAACCCTTTGCTCATCTCATCTGTGAATTGACCTGACCAGTCACCGGACCTGTCCTGCCACCTGACCTGACCCACACCCATCAGCTGACCTGAACCCTCACTTGACCCCCTCACCTAACCTTACCCCTCATCCGACCCCCACCTGACCTGACCTCAGCCCTGACGTGACCCCTCACCTGGCCTGACCTTAGTCCTGACCTGACCTTAGCCCTGACCTGACCCCTCACCTGACCTGACCTTAGCCCTGACCTGACCCCTCACCTGACCTGACCTTAGCCCTGACCTGACCTTAGACCTGACCTGACCTTAGACCTGACCTGACCTCTCACCTGACCTGACCTGCCACCGGGTGCGGCGCGCGCGTCCTAGGAACTCAGCGATTCCCGCGGCGGCGATGCCATTAAAACTTTGTCGACTACCGCGAGTATAATCGGGCCCAATTATCAACAACTTTGCACCGGTAGTAACTAGGCTGCTGGCCTGGGACTGGTCGCCGCTGTGTTCGACGCGGCCCCTTCCCCCTGTACATACGCTATATGTCTGAGTGGATATGCTGTCTCTGTCTGCATACAGTCATGAATTAGATGTGATTTCACAAATTTGTTTCTGTAGGAACATCCTGCCAAACTTAAATGCTCTTTGTCAAAGCCAGAGAAGTCAGCAGTTCTGGTCTTTGACGTTTTTCTTCGTTTAGTTTTTATTAATCTACATTTGACTCGAATACTTCATACAAAACGATAACGCCCCACCATGCAATCTTAAATTCAATCGATATCAACACAAGCTTAGCGATACAAATCCCAGGCACTGGTACTGTCACCGCAGTTGCTACTGGATCGCTCAGCAGAGGTCTCGTGCACATTTGCTTGGAGTTTGCCCTCGCCCCCCCCCCCCAACATGTCGGTCAGTGGCGGCTCCTATCACAGCACGTGCCGCCACCGGATACGTGCCCCTCCCCCTCCCCGACTCGTGCTGGACCGGATGGCCCGGCAGCTGACCTCCCGAGGTCACGCGCTTCCACGTGATCGTGGAACGATATCACACGATGCTTGTGATGGTGTGATCCTGGGGATATTATGACACAGGATTATATAAATACTAAGCCAGTTGATAAGTGGATAGTATTGGTGTAGTCGAAATGCTTGGATGTTCTGATCAACTTGTTATGAACAGTTCTGAGTGACCTGATGGCTAGGCCTGCTCGTTAGGGACCGCACCGACCTGGTCGACCTGGTCGGGTCAGCTCGTTATGAGCGGCTCCCAATGACCTGCGTTCGGCTGTTTCGTGTGAGCATCTCATAGGGCCCCCGCGCTGCCGCTAGCATGACCGGGGCCAATCCTCGTAGCGAGGTAGTCGGAGGACGTAATAATCTTCATGCATTATGCATCTTGATGCCGCGCGTGTTTGGACCATTGTGTCGGCCCATCGGCCGCCGGCCGGCCCTATCGCCGAATTGGGTGCGGGCCCATGGACGGTCCCATTACGGTCATTAGTTGTGTTGCTCGATTCTTTATCGACGGCCATTGGCCGGCCCCGGATAGGGATTAAATAACGGCTGTTTTGTACGGCCGACCCCGGACCCGTGTCCGACCGGCCTAATGCGCCGGTAAATAATCCCGAGTGGACCAACTTTGGGCCGATCGACTGCAGATAAGGTGGAAGTTAACTGCATTAATAACACTCCAACTATGGCCCGATAATCAACAGAATTTGTTTGAGTGCTAGACGATGCCACCATCCATCGTTAACGACACACCTGTGTCGGCTGTCGGATAGTTTTCCCTTTATTCAGCCGTGGAATCTTGAATAATTTACGACCATGCATCATAATTTTGTAGCCCAAAACTACCAAGCTTTGCTATAGTCTTCGAGATCCAACGAGGGCTGATCAAATATTCTATGGTTTCTTCTTTTATAAGTTATTTGCACGCTTTACAAAACAATGAAAATCAGGGTTTTAAATTTGTTTGATTGAGCAGAAGACAAATGATTTGGTTGATCGATGTCTGACAGGATGGTCTACTGATGTTAGTTTCGGCTAGGTGAGGCGCTCTACGCGGTCGGTCGGGGTCTGTTCGAATGGTCTGTTCATGTTTAACGACGGTCAGATGGTTTGTTGATGTTGGTCCGGGTCTGGTCGGATGGTCTGTTGACATTAATCCCGGTCTGGTGGACGGTCTGCTGTGGTCGGCCTGGTCGGATGATTTGTTAGCCTATTAGCGAGGGTCTGCTAGCAAGGTCTGTTTTGGTCTGCTGTGGCTCACCGCGGCCGGCCGGAGGACCCGTCTGGCCCCATCCCAGCGGCAACCGGCGTGTATTTCAGTTGGCACACCTGGCCCCCGTGTGAGGACGCATAAACACACGGTTTGTGTGCGTGTGTGCGGGACGGGGGAGGTCGCGGGAGGTCCACCGACCACCGGCGCGCGGCGGCCGCGACCGCAGAAATAGAACCGCCGAACGCCGATAGTGTTTGTCCAGGTGCGTGGCCGCGCCAAAACTCCAACAAAACTTTCGGGTAGACGGGTTTGTAGGATAACTCGTTAAACTTAGTGTTTAAGACAAGTTTTCAAAGGGATCGTTCTGAAGGACTTAGAGGAGCCAATACCACTCCTCCATGCTGTTTTTCATCGCTTAATTAAAAAGTTTGCCCTCGTTTGGAGGTTTTGCAGCACGGTTCAGTTCCGCTGCATTGATCTGTCCTGTTTTCACAGGAACTCCAATACTCCTCTGCGTCAACTTTGCACATAGCTCTTCGTCCTTCAAACCACTTACGCTATAGCCTCGTAGCTAGACGAAAGACACTTCAGGTGAGGATGTGACTTATGAAATTTATTAAAGTAAAACCTTCCATTTTTATTGCTCTCCTTCGGTCCTTCTTCGGTCACGGCAGTGGCGCGATTGGGAGCGTCTTCTACTGTTTGCTTCACCCGAAAGTCCCCTTTGACTTCGCTGCTCTGCATAATTCAACAATGATCCACCCTGGGCGGCTGGTGAGGTCACCGCGTCGCTCCGCCACTTGATCGTCATCCTTGTGATATTCTTCCGCGTCGCGTTATCGCGGAAATAACGCACCTTTCAACGAGCCGTGACGCCTCGGCAAACCCCAAACGCGCCTAAATGGGCGTACGTTGGCAGACGGTGCCTTCCTCCCCAGAGCTATCAGTAGCGTACGGCCTCAATCGATAGACCTCGCCGTGTCTATATGACCGTCCGTGCACCCTGGTCGGACCCCGGACGGTTTATCGCCCCGCGGTGGAGGATTATGGCGCTCGTCGGGCCCGTCACGGCGCGTGCGGCCTCAATGTCTCCCGGGAGGCATAAACATGTATGTACATGCTGAACAGGTGGCATCGGTGGACAGTGGCGGCACTTCCGTGATGGCCGCCGCCGGAGCCGAGTTCTAACGAGCGATCCAACAGCGTAATCCAGCGACGCGGTGTGTGCACTCAGTACGGGGAACTGCGGAACTGCACTGCACACACGCTCTGCATGAAAGGCGATTACAGCTAATGTTTGCCCGTCAGAGTGATGGGGCCCAACTCCACTCGCCGTGAAGGGTTCTTGATGAGGCTCACGTAGCGCCACTTTGTACCGCTGTTTGAAGTGTCGTGTCAGAAGCGGCGTGATGAGGTAACGTGGTGGTGTCAGTGTGCGTTGGCTCTTAGAGGATACGACGATTATGCCTGTTTGATGAAAGAGGAACCGGCTCAACTGCTGATTAACACTGACATTGTCACCGATACCACCTCTCAGCTGCACGCTGGTTTGTCTGCAGCCAATTCACACGGCTCTCCTCAGCGTTCTCCACACCGAGCCCACCTGTTACGGGACGCTATAAACCGTCGAGCCAAGCCACCACCGCTGCCGCCATAGAGTCCCACACGACACATCATCCAAAATGGAACGAACGCCCTCCAAGGCCGGTGCTGGCTGGAACTGCTGAGCTTTGCGGGGGTCGGCAGGAAATGGATAAAATAAACCAGACAGAGGCGGCGATCAGGACTGCATTCGGACGAATGATGACTGGTGACAGGAGATCGCAACCGTTTTACTTAAAATCCGAATCATGATGATCTCAGTTTATTTGAAATTGTTTAACGGACTTTCACTGGGTAGTGGGTAAAAGTTATTATTGGTCCCGGTACTCCGACTTGTATTGAAAAGTCTTCGATGGGGCACACATAGGTTTAAAACAGACAAAAATCAGGTAGCCATTTTTCGCAACACATCAATATTTCTAAATATCCAGCACGTGATGCACAACTTACCTATTCTCATAGGTATGTAAAACACAGCCAATAGGTACACTTCCTCTTCCAAAGAGGAAGAAGTGTACTTTAATTAACTGGAAGAGGAAGTGTACCTATTGGCTGTGTTTTACATACCTATGAGAATAGGTAAGTTGTGCATCACGTGCTGGATATTTAGAAATATTGATGTGTTGCGAAAAGTGGCTACCTGATTTTTGTCTGTTTTAAACCTATGTGTGCCCCATCGAAGACTTTTCAATACAAGTCGGAGTACCGGGACCAATAATAACTTATACCCACTACCCAGTGAAAGTCCGTTAAACAATTTCAAATAAGCATTTACCTGGGTATTAACTATTAAGACATGACTCTTCAGTCTCACTTAATGATCTCAGTTGTTTCTGACGCATGCTCAATGGCGTTAAAAACGCGTACATAAGTGCTTAGTTATGCTCTTCTTTTGTTTTCAATCTGTCAAGGGCATTGTACATACTTATGCAGCTGCCGGTAGTTGCTTCGTAGCTTTCTATCGGTATTTGTTGTGTTTGGTCAGTGTGCGGTGTCCCATGGTTAGGATTTCAAGACTCAACACGACACCGCCACTAAACTCCCTCTCTTTCTGCCCCACAGACGAAGAAGCACCCGCTGAACCACATCAAGCGCCCGATGAACGCCTTCATGGTCTGGTCACAGATCGAGCGACGCAAGATCATCGAGGTCACCCCAGACATGCACAACGCCGAGATCTCCAAGGAGCTGGGCCGGCGCTGGAAGCTGCTCAGTGACGCGCAGCGCGCGCCCTTCCACGAGATCTCCAAGAGACTCAAAGAGTACCACCAGCGCGAGTTTCCCGACTACAAGTACCGGCCGCGCAAGAAGACGCCCAAACCCGGCCAGGGTAAGACCACGGAGAGGACGAGGTCCCGTTCTCGCTCAGTGTGCGTCACCTCACCAGCGACGAAGGCGGCACCGGTCAGCAGCAGCTCGGTCCGGTCGCGGGCCGGCACTGGAGGCATCCACAGGCTCAAACTGAAGCTGAACATTGATGGGAAGATGGGCGGAGTCTCCACAGAACGGGTGAGGCAGCGACGGCACACCACATCCTCAACTTCCGCATCGGCGGCGAGGGTCGAAACGCAGGTGACGTCAACTTCGACACTGGTGTCATCGGCAGCCGACATGGAGACATCGCAGGTTCTGGCGACAGCTGCTGGGACCATGAGGGTTCACATCCCAGAGCTCAGCGCAGAAAGCCTTCCAGAGCACAGTGCGGAGCACAGGCCGGGTGCTGGCTCCGTGCAGCGGTCGGAGTCCCGGGGACCCTTCCGGGGGACCCTGGAGGAGGCGCAGCCCTCTGCCAGTCGCTGTCCTCGCGCCAGCCCGACCACTGTGCCCTGCAGTCCCTCGACCGTGATGCCCGACTCTCCCGAATCGGCCGCTACCTACGAGGACGGTCCTCTGGCCACGCCTCTGGACCCGCCGGAGCCGCTGCTGACCGCCGTGAAGCCCGACCCTGACGGCTTGGATGAGCTGCTGCAGTTGAAGGTGGCCGACCTGGTCTCCGAGCTCGAGATGATGCCGCTCGACTCGCTCACCTCCGAGCTGGAGCTGGACGCCCTGTCGGTGGCCAGCAGCTCCGGCTCGCACCTCGAGTTCCGCTACGACCGGGACGTGCTCTGCGCCCTCGGCGACCTGCAGGACCCCTGGGCCGACGAGCCGCCCTTCGCTGACCTTGTCGGATGCTGAGCGTCCATCGCAGAGCTGCGGGTGAGGGAGCTGACGGCTCGAGAGTTGGTTCGAACTGAGCGCGATGTTATGCTGGCGTCGGCTACTTGCAATGGATGGTTCGAGGTATGTAAGTGAGTGACTGAGCTAACGTTTTGCTGTGGCGCTCTCTAAAACTCTGCGCTGTTGTGGCCGGTCGAGCGATTCGTCTGTTTTACATGGCGCCACAACCGCTAGCCCTTTGCTGCTGGCCAGACTCCGCTCCCAGAACGGCTAACCGCCTTGTCCCTAACGCCTCAGGGACAGCCGCACCTCTTCCGGCCACTGCTGCCTCTGCTGTCACTGTTGCTTCTCTACCAATGCGCTCGTCGCAGTCGCTTGTCAATTCCCTCAACTTTTAAGCAATCACTCATCCTACATGCAGTACTCTTTTAGCAGCCTTTAACCTTAAAGTGAACCCAAAGCTCTGCATAATCAATCATTTTGTTGATCTACTTTGCGCCACCCACCACCACCATCTAATTTGGTTGTGTCGGTGCTGTGTGAGCAATCGGCCCTGTCGATACGTTCTCTTCACTGAACAGTCTAACGACGCGCCCCGCCAATATCAGCCATCAGTCCCATGTTCGGCCCACATGCGAGTCTCAGTTCGCCGAACACGGTCGCCACCAGCAGCCAATCAAAAGTAATCCAATAATTTGGCGGCCACCGCCGCCCCCACCGTCAGCTCCTACCTGCCGTGGCCTTGACGCATGACCCGTGCCATTACCGACAGATAATCACACCGTTTCCATACTGTGGATGTACAGTACAAAAGGTCGCCGGCGTCACTAGTTGATCTCAGATTGCACGCGTTCTGTGCCGTGCGCGCCGGGCAGGGCCGCCTCGGGATGCACCTACAGGCTAACTGATACTTGGATCGCTGCGATGTTACTGATATGATTGATAGTGGTTACAAGACGGACATGCTCTTATGCCATTGCCGCCGATTTTTGCGATGTCTGGCGTCAATTCAGGATGTTCTCTGTGCTTATCTGAAGGGGAGCTTGGTTATCCCGGTTGACGGCTTCTCCGTCCCGGGTGGGCTCGCGTTTGAACGACACTGGGGTGATCTCCTAGCTCTCTGTGCTGTGCAGGGACAACTTTTGACCTCTGCTGGTCAAGGTCAAAGTCCGAGAGAGAGGGCGAGAGAGATAGATAGATAGAGAGAGAGAGAGAGAGAGAGAGAGAGAGAGAGAGAGAGAGAGAGAGAGAGAGAGAGAGAGAGAGAGAGAGAGAGAGAGAGAGAGAGAGAGACCTGGTGGAAATGTTTGACACAGTGAGACGCTATTCGTTTGGAAGGCCCACATTCGATGTATATTTATTGCAATGTAGCTTCCCAGTGGTGTGCTTTGTTTTATTGATCAGTTCAGGGCTTTATGACTTTGACGAAATGTTTGTTGTAGAGTTATGATATGTTTATGAGTATGTTTCGGTTTCTCATAACCCAAGTGCATTGCGGAGGACGAAAGTGTGTACTTACGCAGGTTATAGCGACTCATGCGGTGTTACGAATCGCCCACACTCGTTCAGCTGCGTTCTAGAAAGCTGTATGTGTGTGCATATGTGCAAATGTGCTTAATATTGGTGGCCACGCAATTCTGACCTAGCTCACCTGACACACATACTGGCTATGCGTCTCCTCGCTGAGCGGACCGGCGAGTTTTGACAGCGGGGCGGCCGGGTGAGCCGCGGCCCTCGACGGTAGTTTCAGCGGGGGCGGTCGTCCCCGCTCTCCTTTTCTCTCGGTGTTAGTACGTAGAGCCGGTTGCTCGGTGTGCGTGTGTGTCGGTAGAGGGAGCGGGCGAGCAGAGCCGCCTCCCAAGAGACTGCGCCTGGCAATGGTACACATTATCGCGGCCCCGCGGGGGCGCCGCGCCGTGCCCGTGCCCTCCCCCGGGCACCGGTGAGTGATTCCTCGTCTGTCCCACCGGCGGCCGTGAGCGCCCTGCAGCGCTCCCACCGGCACCGCCTCCGTTGACCTCTGTTGTTCTGTTATTGTCCGTACTTACAGTTTATATTTGAGCTCTCCGGCGCCGAGCGAGTGTTTGTCGAATAACGCGCAGCCAATCGAATGCTTGTTCAACGTGGCGAATCTTCAGTTGTGCTGCGCTAAAGTGGAGCAATATTTTTCATAATATAAAGCGAAATGGATGTGTAAGGCAGTCCCGCAACTACCTTGGGTATACATAGTCCTGTACATTTTGTATCGTAGTTTGTTTACAAATAATGAAATGCAGAAAAAAAAATGAATAAAGCTCGAGTTTTCTGAATCCTTGTTTTCATGTATTTACCAAAACACGTGTAGTCCTGACATCCCATACTGGTTAAAACCTACTACATCATACCATAAAACTTGCTAATTACGAGTGGACGAAGAGGTGTATTGGCGGTTACGGAGGTGTTCGGGACACGGTTCCAGCTGCCTGAGCAGCTAACAGCTTCAGACTTCCGGCTACCACACTCCCGTCAATGCATGCGAGTTCCCACACCTCGCCGGTCGGCCGTCGTATGTATATTCCCGCCGCCTGAGTCACAACATCCAGTTAGCACAGCGGCTGACCGGTCTGACTCGTCACCGCCTGAGTCATCACGGGTGAGTCACCGACTCGGCTCCACCCCCGGCTCCGACTCGAGTCACCTTGAGTCGACCAAGGACAGTCACGGACGAGAGGGCGGTCAGCACGGCAACAAAATGCAGCAGAGTCGTTAAACATGGCAGTGAAGGAGTGAAGGTAGGCACGCCGACGAACATCAATACCATGATTCAGGAATTATGAGCTCGTGTCTGTGTGATGTCGCTTTGGAGAATAGTGCTGCATTATAAGAACCGTGCGTTGGAAGTCTGTTGAGTGCGCCTTTTATTGAATCATGTTAGACAATACTCAACGATGGTACGCGCGGGCTGCGAATTAGAAACAAATTTACCGAACCAGGATGTGAGACCAAAAATAGCTCAACTGCACCGAATCAGCTCTAAATCACCTGAGCCCGACGGGTGAAGACTTGAGTCAGACAGTGGCAGCTCCTTTTGAGCCGATAACAAGTTAACTCAAGGCGCTGATGAAAAAAGTCCGTTGGTTAAAAGATAAGAACTCGACTCAATTTCGAAAGCTATAACGACGCAAGCTGAACCATGTTGGACACATACGACACAAGTCGATTCAGCATGGCAAATAATGACACTAGTCCAGCCTATGATGGCTACAGACACAGTCGGTCGGTAACGACTTGATTCGAGCCAATAACGACTAGAGTCAAGACACAGTGCACAGGGGAGTAGTAACAGGCGCCGACCGGCCGGCTCCATTATTCAGCGAGTGGCACCTGCGCCGGTCAGCGGCCGGTTTGACAGCTTTATGGCCCAGCCCACTCGGCCGACACTGAAGTTGGACGGTGCGCGGGGTGTGTGTCGCCCAATGTGCTGTTGTTACAGCGGATTATACCGAGCGGCGGCCCCCGGCCGGACCGACACCGGGTGCAACTTTGACACCGCACCGGCCGCTCCAGGCTGATCATTTATTCACGGCAATAATCTTCGGCTGAGCGAACGACGAAATTTAATGACACGACACGAGTGACTCGTATTTTAACAATGTAAGTTGATGTTTTATGCCCAGTGCCAAAGTAACCGCATGCTGCGTGAGAGTGGCAAGTGTTAGGCCTTGAATTATTGTCGATTCTGGTGATAGATTTAACTGCATTTACTGCGACCTTTGGTATGAATTTTCGTATCACCTGAATTTACGTGCTCTGTTTCTGGTACGGCCTTTATTACCATTATTATAATTTAAAAACTTTATACGATTTTAAAGCGAGCTGAATACCGAACAATTTACGTGTCCTACAAAACATGTCAAAAACATGTCATTATATTGCTTATTTACGGAGGTAATATTGTAATGTCTTTGATAAAACCACCTCTGAAAATGACATTAACGAGCATGTTTTCTCGCTGACAAAAGCTGACCATCTCATATTTTTCATAGGTGATTTAATTTGTTGTAAAAAAAAATATCAGTTTTCATGCTGTGATATATTTCGATAACAACTTGCGGAGGGAGGAATTGACAAAGCGAAGCAATACCGTATTTATCAGTGAACATCTCTATGCCGCCATGCATAATCCACTAACCATCTCCCTGAAAGGTTGTATTGTATTGTATTGTATTGACATCAAAAGCCTCCCACATACAGCGTGACGATTAAGGTTATCAGACTGGTCAGTGAATTCCCCAGCGGTGAACCTTATGTTTAATAGGCACACACGTTATTGTCGGCATTATTGGGTGGTGTTCATGGGCTCTGTGCTCTTTAATACACCCCCAGAGGCTTTCCCCGACTCGGTCAACATGTGTATAGTAGCCTTGGGACGAAACTATCGGTGGTCATGCACTATGGCCAAATCGATAATGTTTGCGCACTTGCCAAGGAGCACAGTAACCTGCCTGGCGGTAGTCAGGCGGAAGAGCAAACACGACCCTATGTTTTGTGTGCCAACAAAGTACATACAGCTATAGCCAATAAAAAAAGAAAAGAAAAAATACGTTACAATATGCTCTTTAACCCTCGCCCTGGCAGGGGGTCGATGCGACCCCCCCCCCCCCTAAGGTTTTTCGAAGATAGCGTAAAAACGGCGGCGCGCAGCGCCGCCAAATTTGGCACAGCCTATGGGGCAACCTTTTTACATATGACCTGAAAAGTTCAGGTCCAAGTGACCTTGGGTCAGGTCACCAGGTCAGAAAAACCGGTACAAGGTCATGGTCAAATTTCAATTTTCTTTTTGCACCTGTCCAACTCACAGTTTTTCACTGATTTCCTTCAAACTTTCAGGATGTGCTAAGTTCACCGAGTTGTATAACATATAGTTCGGGATTTTTGAGGTCACTGACCTGAGGTCAGTTAGAGGCAGTAGCGGCGGAACACCTTCAATTAAAGGGGGGGGGGGGGGCACTACCGACTTTTGGTCCCATTCTTTCCATGCAACGCCCATAGGGCTAATGTTAAAAGGCCAAAATCAAAGGGGGGCACGGTGCCTCGGTGCCCTCCCCGTTCCGCCGCCTATGGTTAGAGGTCATTACGTCGTAATGTTAAGCCTATGGGAAAATACTAAATTCGGAAAATACTGGAGATATCCGCTTCGTTCTATCATTTTTGTGCTTTGAAACCACAGTACTTAACAGCAGGTCACTTGGTGCTTCTTTGTTTGGTGTGCTTATCCATGGGTCAGGTCTAGAGGTGGCAAAACTGGAAAATTTTGGGAACCGGACCCGGACCCGGTCTCACTGGCAAATTTCTGGAACCGGTCAGACCCGGTCTAAGTCAGCGTTGGAACCAGATGGACCCGTTCCCTAAATCCATTATGAATATTGTATACAGTTGTAGGTATAGCAAGAAGACAATATTTTCTTTCCTATTGGGCATACTTGTGTTGCAAAGTAAAAAAACTCATGCCATGATCATTTTACTTTGCTTCACAGTTTGTATTTAAAACCAGATTCAGGTCATATTTAAGAATATAAGAAGTAAGAAGACCAATGAATTTCATGCTTACCTAAGCCCCTTTTACTGCACCTGCTAAAAATGATGTGAACTGGGGATCCATGGAGCAGTGCCTTCACCAGTCAGAACCTAACATCAACATTGAACAAGATACGCATATCACATACTGATACATACCTTTTCTAATATTCTTGGTAAAAGACATTCGTCTTTAGAATTAAATACATTAGTCCTTACAAATATTATCAACTATCCAACGTCCCAAACCAGAAAATATTCAAAATAAAAATAGAAACATCAAAACTTTGTGATGTCCGCCAGAAATGTCGACACCGATAGCAATTCAAGGACAAGGCAGGCGTTAAATCACTGCAAAATTCTGTTGGGGTTAAAGTACTGCAAAGTCATAATAGCTTTCAACTTTAAAGTACTGCAAGGTTGCGATCATGACTTAAGTGCCAATTCATTAACGTAGAAAGCAAGCTACATTTTGTTGTTAGTACCTAGATATAGAATAAATATCAAGGGTGCTGAGACTTACCTGATTTTGGTCTTGTCGTCTTTGACCTGGGATCCATGAGCAGAGTAACTGCATATAACAATCTACAAACTATCACAATGCTGAACTATATAGTAGGAAAATCCGTTCCTGATGCACATCTATTCGTTAATGTATTTGGGGTCTTTGTATCAGATGTCATTAGGCGTTTAGTATGTGCTAGAGTGGAGGTTTTGTCCTCTTCCCGAACGTGTTTTTGCAGTAGATTAGCGTGCGTAAGGCTTAGCATATATGACGCTCAAATGCGCCATTTTCATATCAACACGGTATCATTGGCCTTGGAGAAGGGCATTGGTATTGACTCAGTTATTTGCCATCTGATGCCGTATGATGGCGCTAGTAGAGCGCTATACGTGTAATACGCTCTGCTAGCGCCATCATGCGGCGCCAGTTGGCTAAAAATCTGGTCAATACCACTGTTTCTGGAGAATGCCTTGGATTCATTTTGAGCTTTCTGGAGCTTTCTGGATTTATCCAAGGGCATGTTGGGTTTATGAGTTGTAAAGTGTCCATGACAGTTGGATAGCGACAACTCAAGAAACTCAAGATTACTTTCAAACGATATTTATTTTTTTTTTCCAATTTCTGGTGGGCATAGTACCAGCTGACTGACTTTGGTACATCAGTGTCTTTGAAAAGGCAGGTAAGAATGCCACTGGTCAGCCTTGCTTCAATTAGATTTGTGTCCATTTATAAATGGATTTCAATCATACCTACTTACCTACATATGTCATTGGTATTTGATTTCTACAGCTCAAAATATTGTTAGGTGCTGTACAGCAAACTGAATGGAAGTGATGGGTAGGTACAAACATTTGGTGATTTTTTTTCTGCATTGCCAGCACTTAAAACTTGTTTATTTTGTTGTAGGTGACAAGATAAGAAATTGAAGCAAGACTGACCAGTATCCTACAGAATAGGTAGCCCAATCTGCAGGAATATTAAAATTCAAAAGTGGAATTAGGACTCATGGACTGGAAACTGCATCAACTATGTTTGCCAAAGCATAACAGATATTAACCCTCGCCCTGGCAGGGGGGGGTCGATGCGACCCCCCCCCCCTAAGGTTTTTCGAAGATAGCGTAAAAACGGCGGCGCGCAGCGCCGCCAAATTTGGCACAGCCTATGGGGCAACCTTTTTACATATCCCCTGAAAATTTCAGGTCCGGGTGACCTTGGGTCAGGTCACCAGGTCAGAAAAACCGGTACAAG